GTGGACACCACGCAACCTTCTTCCCCAACCCATCTGCCCTGACTTTTTTTTTTTTGATTAAAAAAAACAATCGATGAATACACAAAACATTCCTTAAATTTATGAGGTCAGCGGTTGTCCATTCCATGAGAATCTACTCTTCTTCAGGATCATCCTGAGGAGAGGTAAATTTACTGGGTAGGGAAGCAGTTGACTCCCAGGTGTTGTATTCTCTTTAAATGCCTTTCAAAACCCCCGGGGCCTTCATTTCCAGCTTACACAAGAAATGAAGCAAACAGAGAGGTTAAGTGTCCATTAAACGACTTAAATCTTTCAATCAGGGCATCAGCCGGATGTCTGAGGAAGATCTGACTGAGAGTCACAGAATCAGAAAAGAGGGGGAGAAGCTTAGTTTCCTGTTAGTATTCTTGTTTTCCTCCTAAATCAGACAGTCAAATGGGACTTACCTCTACAAGAAGTGTGTGTCCAGATAAGTCCCTCAGTCTCTGTTTCTTTAAACACAAAGTTACCCATTCTTACTGCAAAGTCCTGATCGAGTTATGACTTGAGGGAGCAGCATATGACAAGAACTGTGACTAGCACCACGTTTTTGTAAGCAGCTTGAGACACTGCTCGTAACATACTGGAAAAATAGTTGCTTTTATAGCAAACTGAATTCAAATCCTTAAGAACTATAAAATTATCCAGAAAACTCCTGTTCCACAGAGGGCTGTTTTTATCCTGTCCTTGTTATCTTTTGCCTTGAGCCCTGTCCAATCCAATGCATAACACAGCATTATATGGCCTGAAAATCACACTAACAAGTGACCCAGTGTTAGCGTCATAACGCTACTGGAATACTCCATTAAAGTGTCTGTTAGAATCAACACGGTCAGCTCTGGAAAGCATAAGCAATACTTCAGTTGTGTTCTGAAGCCTAAGAATAGGATACACACTCCAAAAACCAAGCCCAAATGAAAAACAGATTCAAGAAGTGGTAATAAACTCGCAAACAGACACTAAAAATACCAGTCAGAATCACTGAGCTTTTAAGAACGGCAAACTGACCCAGTGGTGCTGACTGATTGCACGGTTATTTCCACCATGGTAAATGGTTAATTGTAGGATGCACCGTGGCTGTAAACAGTGCAGGCGTTTTTAAGATTATCAGCTAGAACAGAAAATAGCAAGATGGATGGTACCTTCAGCAGGGAGAGGCTCAGCTATTTTAATTAACGTAGCTAAAACTGGAGAGTGCTTGAAGGCTTCAGTAAAGGCAGATAAATGAAGAAAAATGTCACAATGAATTTAAAACCCATCTCAGCTTTATGGAGTTATTTGAAGCCCAAAGTGCTACTTCTTGCAGGAAAGGTGTTAAATATAAACTCACTGGCAACGCAGGGTGAGAGGAGGGAGAAGCTGACATACCCTTATGGATGAATGTCTGCAGGAAAACTCACCTTCAGCAGGCAGCAGTTTAGCACGTTTGCTTTACTGGGACACGAGGTGACAGCTCAGAAAACTTTTATTGTTGTTTATCTAATACTTACCTAGCAGTACCCAACTGGAAAGTCCATCTATTACAGGATTCAAGTTAGTGGCTTTTGTTTTTTTTATCCTGTATTGGCTTTTTTTGTTTTTAAGTTTTTGTAATGAGAGGAATGTTCTTATATTGGCTTCCCTTCCACCACGCCTATGGTATTTCTCTCCCCTCACAGAAAAAGCCAAACAACCTAAAACCACAATCAAGGACACAGCAACTCACTTTGCATGTAATCAGACATCTAATAACCACAGCTGGTGTTAGTTATCCCAGCAGCACACTACAAAGCGTAACAGAAGCAGCTCATTTTCTCTTTTAGCAGCCAAAGGGAGAGTGAGAGTGTATTCCTTAGCTTGCATCACAAGATTTTACCATTCATTCTTTTTCTTCTAACTGCATTGTTTTAAATCTGTTCCAGAAAACTTTTTTGTGGATTTTTAACTTCCAGTGCCCTTTTTTTTTTTGGTAGATTTTCATCTCCGCAGGAAATTTAATCCACAACTGAGAAGTTATCATATAACCTGCAGGTTATTCTACAACCCATTCTTGACATTCTTCCAATTCTCCGTTCTTTATCCCTCTTCCTCCTCCCTCCTGCACCTTTTCTTGGGTCTGGAGGAAGCCATTAAAGAAGAGAGTGTTTTACAGAACAAATGCACTTATCACCCAAGTAGCGCAAAGGAAAAGCTAACAAGCAGCAGAGGAGGAAGAACACTGATTGCTGACGCACTGAGAACTGCTGAAAGTAAGCTGTACAAAGCTCTACTTCCAGCATCTCTTCATTTCAAACAACAGACATACACAAAAGAACTTAATTAAAGTAAAGGTCTTAATATAAAAATACTAGATATGGCTTCCAAAATAGTTGTAGAACAGAAAAAAAATGTAATTATGTACTTGGGATCACTTATGTTGCAGTCACAGTACCAAGGAGATCATTAATTGACACTGTTTTATAGTTTAATAAAAAATTAACTGTCCCCTACAATCACAGAGCTTTCAATGTCTGTCCAAAATTTTGGACAGACACCTCAGCACAAATTCACCGTGACCCACACCTCCACAACAGTTCTTTCCGTCATGATGTTGCGTGGAATATATTTTGTAATTTAATTCTTCAGCACAATGAATGACTGGAAACCTTGGTGTTTCTGTCCAAAAAAAGCTGAGCAAGTTCAGAATTTGTTTGATCGTTATTGCACTGCCCCCATCACCCCTTACTCCTCCTACATGAAAGGTCTGGAGCAGCTACTCAAGTTCTGTAGAACGCGTACAAGCATTTCAGTTTGATGCTGGAGACACCACTTGTTAGATGTATACTTATTCTCTGTGATATTTCCAACAGTTAAAAAAAGTTGACTTTCTACCCCAAATAAATCAGAAGTAGAAAAAACACACGCTGAATTGTGTCAGGAACTTGGTATTTGTATAATTTACGGCACCTCAGGTCCCCCACTCCTGCTCCAGACTTTCTACTGCCCTTTCTCATGCTACTCCAGCTACATATGTTTCAGCAAGCAGTGTAGCCCAGCACAGGCAGATGTGTTATGTGGGTGCTGAAGACCCAACGTCCCCACTACGCACAGCTCTAGCTGCTTTACTTAAGGCTGTATCTAACCTGGTGCTGCAGGCCCAACAGCTGTTTGTGGTTGACACACAACAGGCATGTTTCTCAAACACAGCTTTCGTTTTCATTTCACGCAGAAGAAACCCTGTGCGGCCCAAGAATGCTTCACAATATGAATCAAAGTACATTAAGATCGGGAAATTCTCCTCACGAGTGTGTTCCCAAGCTGAACTGAACAGCTAGCGAGGACCTACCCTGAGTTCAGAGATGAAGGCTGCAGATAAGCAACCACCTTTTACACTCACAGAGCCAGTGTTAGCTCCCCAGCACAGCTGCTCCTCCAGATCTGCTCCCGTAGTGCCACTTGCTGACAACAGACGTCTCCTGAACTGCCCACTGCTGCTCCCACCAGACAGAGCTCCCCATAGGTCCTGTCCACACCGCTCCACTGTCACATGCCATCGCGGTGCTCACGCATACACGACACACGGATCCGCTCTGGTACAACGCAGCACAGGCACCACGTGCCCTCTGCTGGACTGCTACCCACCCACTGCCTCTTCACACCTCAGCAGCTGCCAGCACCAGAGAAAGGCTCCACAGCACCGCGGGCAGAGGGGCTTCAGGGCCCCAGAAGAACTGATCTGGATTTCTCCAGCCTTGTTTTTCAACACGACTGGGGGTACAGCAAGAAGCTAAGGCCATCCCTCCTTCCGCCAGAATGAATGTAGGTTTCTAGGCCTTCCTGAGAACTCAGGTTGCTTTCAACTGTGTTTTGTCACTGGCTTACAAAAATACTCTACGCCCACAGGTCTGAGTGACTTTCTTTTTCCTTAAGTTATTCTCCTCTTAATTCTACCTTGTGAGCCTGGGAGGCAGAGGATACCTACAGTCTCTTGACATGCTTGAAGGGGCCATTCATTTTAAAAGGCTTTAGAAACAGATGTGTCTAAAGAACTTTGTTCCAGCTATTTCTTACATCTACCTTTAATTTAACTCTATTTGGGAGACAGCTCTGAAATTCAAGGTTCAGAGTCACACTTTCAAAGCTGCCAATCCGCCTGGAAGTGATACAGGTAAATGGCAGTATTTTAAGTATGTGTTTCAGCTACTCATATGATGTAATAGTAATTAAAAACTACACTACCCTGAATTCTAAATACACTGTGAACTGTCTGCTTAGAACTCTGTGACTGTATTTATCTTTGCATACATTTAATTTTTATTCTAGCACTTACATTAACCAATATTCTTAAAAGAAAAAACAATGCTAGGAATCAAGTCACATTTCAAGATTTGCTTGAAAAAAAGTTCAACAATAAGGTATTCTCTCTCCTGTAAGTCATCGTGGCATCTCTTTCCCATCTGCTTCTCAAATCTATCTGCTCTAAGAGTCAATATTATACTACCCAGGATTACTCCTTGTGCATTTTCCCAGATATCCTTACAACAAGCAGTAGTGGAAGATTCATTTCTGTTTCTTTTTGAGACTCAGGGACACAACCACAAAAATCTTTTGCCAGTGAAAGAAAATTATAAAGATAATCTCCATGCAGCCAGCTAGCAGTATTACCCATCAGTTATTGCTCCTTGATTTTGTGCCTAACTGTAGCTACAGATCAAATATAGATGTGAAGATTTCAGCTTCTACTAGTTGGTAGGGATCTGCAACCCAACAGTCAGTTGTAAAAAGTATGTTATGTACCACATGGCGTGGGCTAAGGCAATTCTTTTTTCTAGCTGAAGACACATTGCTGCAACCCACGAGAGAGAATCAGATTGCTGAATTATCCTAATTGTGTGCTAATTTTTAGTAAAAGACCCTAACACAGCCTTATAAAAATGACATAGTAGTGTACTTTATTCAAAAAATCAGTTTTCAAATAATGACTGATGCTACACGATATTTACCTGCTTCTTCTTTAATAAATGACAAATCTTCTTCTGGATACGGGACTGATGGTTGCAACACTGAGCAATCTTCCGAGTTCTCTTCAGTATTAGGTGGTATATTATAAATAAATCTCTTTGCGGTTTGGTTTTTCCTTCTTGCTTTTCCAGGTTCTTGAACTGATTGTCCCTGTGAGCCCATGTCGTTCCACACAAAAACTTTTCCCTCTCCTTGAGATTCACTTTCAGCCATTTCAGGTGAGCTGTCCTGGACCCAACTGCAGTCATTCATTTGGTAGCTTTCAATTTGGGCCTCATCAATAGAGTAACCATCGTTCTCAGTTTTTATGCTGCTTGCCAAGTTGGTAAGGTTTCGTGTTGCCCAGAAACTGGCAACTTTCTGATCCCTTGGAGACATACCATCCCTGCTAACAGATCTTCTGTTATAATCCACCACAACGGTCTCCGGAGCTTCTGATTTTATACTTATGTTTAAGGCATCTTTAATGAAATTGCGGCAAGACTGGACAACCTCCGTCATCTGAAGGTAGCTGGCCACTGACATCACTTCAATGGCATTTTGGCTCGTAAGCACGAGATTCCCGGAATACAAGAAGTCCAAGATGACAGAAAAACCTTGAACAGCAACAACATCTAAATAGGTAACAGTGGTTTGGTTACGGCTTTCTTTGTTTGTAAAGCAATACAGAGTCTTAAAGAAGCGGCTGCCTGCAACCAGGATGTTCTTGTGAGCTCTGAAGACCCTCCCACTCACCACAATATTGACATCACAAAGAATGCCTTTCTTCCTCTGTTCGTTTAGTTCTTGCAGGAGCTGATAGCAGTAAGAGTTCTCATTTGGCCTGCTGTTAAAATCACAGTATCCTTCATTATTCAGTTCCGACGGTAACTCTGACTCCTGGAATTAGAAAAAAAAAATTAATTAGCTCTTAATGAATGTTCTTCTTAATCATACAATGCTATTATAAGGATACAAAACTAAACTTACAAAGATAGAAAGATAATATATACATATATATATAAAATAATCTTGGTCATAAAGACAGGCTGGAATATATAATTAAAAAAATACTTCTGTAAACTGAGAGTCATGTTCTCATTTCACCCCCCACTCTCCTATTTGGAACAAAAACAGAACTAGCAGAATTGCCCTAAGGACAAAGGAAGTAAAATTTGGGCCAAAAGTAAGGCAAGATTTAGCTGAGCACAAAGTACTTGTCTTTGTTAAGCCATATACATTAACGATGTGGAGTTCCTTTCCTAAGATTTAACTATGTGGTTCTCACATATCCAGTTCTTTGTTTTTCCTTAAAACTCTCCACTTTAACAGGTCAAAAGACAACCATGATAATGGATTCAACATTTGCTTAGGCTGAGAGATGAATATATAACATCTCCCAACCTATACCTGTTTTATATGTTCTAAGGAAAACATATTGTCAGAGTAGTTATAACAACAGCTAGATTTCTTCTACGGTTCTACAAATTAGGGTGCTTTTTAAAATTATTTTCTCATTGTGCAGGTTTAGTATTAAATAGCTGTATTAGAAGACAAGAGGACAGAAAACTGCAGGTGACCAAACAAAAGTTAAGCAACATTATCTAAGACTTTCTTGAATCAAACTTCACTGAAACTTCCTAGCAGCGACATCTTTAACTCTTAAATATTTAATCATACAGACAATACATATGTGTCTCTCTACAACTTTTCCAAGAAGAGATCTCAGAAGCGACTTCAAAAATCTCCTAACAGTAGCATCAAACAATCCAACACCAAGAAATGATTTATTAAAGATTAGTTCAGGCAGAAGCTGATGAGTAACAAGAAGTCTTTACAGCACTTGGGCAATTTGCAACTGATGTTTAGACAGTGATGATTCAGATGTGGTACAAAGAAGCAGCTAGAAGCAAGCAGAAAGTAACACAGACTGGCATGTTTGAGACCATACTTATACTGATTGATCGGTGCTGCCATCAAGAGCACTGATGATGACAGGGTTGTTTTTGTGCTGGATCTCTAAGACTCTCTCCTCTTTTCTAGCAAAAAAAGAACAGTTCAGAACTGGCTGGTTCCAAAATGATTTTGAATGAGAGAAAAGTATATTTTGCCAGTGATGTCTTTTGTTTCTTCTGTTTTAAAACAAAACCAAAGAAGAGACTCAGGAGTATTAAAAAAGGTAGAGGTATTAAAAGCTCCACTGCCTCAGCATTACAGGTCAGATACAGGTAATGGGCTTTCAAGAACCCATAATGTATACTGGGGCTGAAATATATGGTAAAGCAAAGTACACTCCTTATTTTGGGGCTACAGCAGCTACATGTATATCAAAAAGCTGCTTTCCACTACACAGGAATTAATGCATTAAATGAGTACTCGCCTCAAGACACAGCCCCAGCGCTGATCAGTGGGACACCAACTGAGCAGCTGAGGTTGTAACTACCCCCTCCCAAAAGGGATTTTACATCTACAAGCAGCAAATAATGCCCAAAGTAATCAAGAGAGAAAGTTTTCAGCATCTCATGCAGACAAAGTTCAGTTTGCTGTCATGTTCAAGTTGCTTCTAAATCTCTCCTCAGAAAGCATCCAGCAGCAATTAGGTTTTTACATGAAAACAACCAACAGATCTCTGTCCAGCCTCAGTTTTTTTTTGTTTTTTTTTTTACTTTTTAATATATACATTTTTACACTTTTCTAATGCGTTTTAGTACATGCTCTCTGACAAAAGCAAATACTCTCTCAGATCAGGGCACAGAAACAGGAATGACATCCCAGACATGCAACAACTAAGTGTGACATTAAATTCTGAGGATTTCAGATCTGGACCAAGTTGCTGTCGCCAAGCAGCGGAGCACTGTGTAGGTTCAAAATGCCGATCACCCTGACTTTGGATCAGATTAAAACAAAAATGATGATACCAAAGCGTTGTCACTCTAGTCCAAACCAAGCACCAGTGACTTGCATCGTACACAGCACATGTCGGGTACAGACTACAATAGCTGACAGAATTTCATTATCTGGGAGCATGTTAAACACCACACAAAGCTTAAAAATAATCTGCAGGAGGCAGATTACAGTGTCTTTTTTACAATGTCTGATTCCAGAGAAGTGATAGAGTATGTTTTAACTGAGGATGTGTATGCAGCCAATCCAGCTGAAAAGTGAGATTTACAATGCAGCTTTTCTTTAAGAAAATGACAAGCCAGCATGGTAAGAAGGACTTGCAGATTTATGTGCTACGGAAAGAAGGCTGAAGTCTTCATTATGAAAACGGAAGGCTGAGTGGAAATAAGAGACACAGTGTAACTAACATCTGAAATACAGATGGGGGGTGTTCAGGCAAAGAGATGTGCTTACCCCAGGCACCCAGAGCTTTACAGAACGGGGTGCATAAAGACTTTTTTCAAGCTGACTGTAACATTGATCACAACTGCCTAACTGCTGCTATGGGAGCAGCTAATCCTAATGCTGCACCGCAAACAAAACAAAAGCCCTAACACCCCAACAGTTAACAAGTCTATGGAAACCAAGTGTTAGCATTTACTATGAGAAAGATGGAAGAAATGTAATAGCACCCTTGGAGAGTTTCAAGCATCTCCTCTCTGAGCAGAACAGGTACAACACACTCTAATATTAGAGTTACAAAAATAATTACAGAAAAAAAAAATCAAAGAAAAGTTATCTTCAAGATTCTATTATCCCTGTTATGTTCATAGCAATCATCATAAGGGTAATGTTTTTCTGGTGAGAAACACAAGCTAATATTTCCTTAGATGCCAAGTTATATTTTCAGAATACAGACAAAAGTATTCCCTGGCTGAAGTTATCTCAACCACTTTACCTTTAAAAACTCGTAAGAAAACTAGAAAATGAAGAATTGTGTTCTCAGGTGTGGAATTTACAGAGTAAGTTTGAAAAGCTTCACTCTGCGTGCAACACGAAGTGGTCTAACAGAACCCAAACTGCTCAGAGAAACTAATATTGAGCTCAGCTCCAATTCACTAGTCTCTGAATATACGCAGAGATAAATGACTCTTTCATACGTACAATTCACTAATTAAACCTGCCTACAAGCTAATAGCTGAAAGAGACGATCAAAAACTGCTACTAGAAACTGTCTTTTCTTTCCCTTCTGTGCCATCAGCATGCCCTGCCTCCTGGGAGAAAGAGCCGGGGGGAGGTTAGCAAAAACAACCCCAGCACACACAGATTCCACCCCAGCTGTACGTATCCGAAAAGTAGTTTTGCCACATTTTTGTAATCCCTTCCCCATTACCACACCTTGCTCTACACTATCTTTTCTATACCCCCAAATCAATTCGCAACCTGAAAAATGGACCTTGTAACAGAAGCAAGCTGTCAGGAATTCCTCCAGCACATGCAGCTACAGAGGAAAATTATCTCATAAAACGGTCTTATCAGCTCCGCTGCTGTCTGACGTGCTGCAGCATCACCCGAAATGCAGCGATTCGGAGTTGTGATGCCCCTGCCCGACACCAGGTTGAGCAGCTCCATGTCGGGTGGGAGCACTGCACAAAGCTAGGGCAGGCGGGAGTCCCTGCCCCAAGGTCCTGACTCCCTCCTCGCTGCTCTGCTCTGCTGTGAGTAACTCAAGAAGTTAACTTAGACCACTACAATGCCACTTTTGCATCTGAAGCACGATGACTTCTATTCATCACCGCTCACACAAAGCAAACAATTACAGTTCACATGGAAAAAATAACACATCAAAGGCCTTCCTCCTCTTGGAGAGCTTCTGCTTTAAACCAACATGCCTGTTAGGCTGGAGAAAGCTTTTCTGGCAGTACTGCCAAAGCTCAGCTTCAAATTATGTCCAGAGGAAAAAAAAATGGTTTAAGAAACAGCTTTAAAGAGAGGAGCCGACAACTGCCGATAAATCTGCAACTCATGGATCTAAATTCATCACAGAATTAAAATATTTTGCAGTCATTTCCCAGTGTCTTTTTTTTTTAAATAAAAATGAAACTAAGTCCATTTTCTAAAAAACCTGAAAGTAGTTTCTTGCTGAATTTTATCTCTCTCTAAACTTTAACACAGAGAGAGATTATTTTAAAAACTAGACGAGAAAGAAAGGAGTTAAGATTTTGGTCTTAGGACGAAGCACCAACCCCTGACAGTTCCATACCCTTGAATTACAGCAGCTGCAACCACTTGTGATGTATTTTGGCATTCCAAATTAAACGTATCCCAAAAATAAACTGAAATCATCACTCACTTCTTCATGTGTAATATCCAGCAGACCTATAGAAATTTCCACTGCTTTACTGTCTCAACACCTACAATTTCCTTCCCGCTCTCCAAGAGTGGCACTACGCCATATGTTTATTAGCAGCTGCTAAACATGCCCTGCAGTTGAAGCTTGTCAAGTCAAGAATACATATGTGTTGTCTCTAAGACAAAGACCAAAAGATCTCTCCCAAATTTCATTAAATTTCAAAGGCTTTGCTGCCTCATTATGCGCGTTGGAAATATGGTCAGGGTACACATTACCTACTTTTGTTCCGAGTATCTGGCAGCGTGGCATTAAGATAAAAATTATGGCGATTGCTTTGGTATTAAATTAAACATAAGGATCAAGATAAGTGGACGTGCTATTAAAAACGTGAAAGGATATGAAAACTAAACAAACCGTGCAAAGAAAACACTTATTCTTAATCATATTTGCAATAAGGCAAGTGTAACCCAGAAGTGCACCACAAAAAAAAACAACTGCAGTAACTCTTGAAAAACTGCAATTCCTCCCTTGTAGCAAGTTTTTCACTGAAGTGTGATTGCACAGGGATGCATCCAGCACTGTTTTCTACTCAGAATCACCACGCTCTAGAGCTACTGAAAGCTTACTTTGTCCAAACCTTATCATCAGTAAGTATAAAAGAACCACTGACGCATCTTACCTATCCGTTTTCATTCATTATTACAGTTACTACAATTATTTTTTCTCAAGTTATCGGTGGCAGAAAGGCAGAGGCTCATTTTTATGAGGATTCCCATGACAGTGACAGGTTAATCTTCAAATATAAGCAACACATTAACTTTTAGGCTACCGTGACTGTGCAAGATAAGATTCCTCCCTCCTCCCCAATATTAAGTGTTGTGATACAAAAGGGACGGAAAGTCAGAAGGAAAGACCATTAAGTCTAGTAGGAAAAAAAAACAAAAAAAAACAACACCTGGAATATGTTTTATTTACACATAGCTAAGGGACTGTAAGAGAAACCTCCAACTGTGCCACCAAGTAGCATTATCTAGTGAGATGGAGGCTGCGCAGCGACAGGACATACCTTTGCAGGGTAATCATTCACAACAGGATGGCACAGAACATACCACACTAACGCTGAACAAAAAGAATGTTTTTGAAACGTTAAGAGATAAAAGAAATCGCAAATGAGAGCTTCAAAATAGAAGCTGAAGGTATTTCAGGCAAGTCAGGCCAAAATACTGCAGAGAATAGCAAAACTCTGATTGCAGGAAACTGATAAAGCGACCTCCTGCCATGGGACGTGCGTAACAACAGGGGCCCTAGAATTTCAGTCCGTGAATGCAGTAACTGTAGAGGCAGCATTACTCATCTTAAACGCGAACGCTGCACTTCTAGACCCAAAATACTGTTTTGGATAACTGGTATTACTTCGTAACTTCTTTTTCTTAAAGTCCTGCAGGAGTTTTAAATTAGATCTGTATCCCTTTTCTGACTGGCTCTAAGAAAAGCTATGCTTGCCTAACGTTTTATCCGTTGTTCTGATGCCCTACCCAATCCGTTAGAATAGCAGCTCTTGTCCAAGGTACCCTGAGCTCCTTAAAGTGCTCGAGCGACACGCTCAATTTAAGTGCTGCGCTGTGAGTCGGAGCCCAGATGCATCAGTGCAGCCACGGCGGGCATTTTAATGAAAACTCAGCTCTGAACAGCGAGAGCAGAGCAGTTGGGGATTAATTCCGGCTAACAGCTCGGCTTCGATCTGACAGGTCAAGCAGTAACCTAACCTGGAGCGCAGCAGCTTGTGCCTGCTGGCAACTTTACTGCCAGTTAGCCAATCTGAGCGAACTTCTGCAGTGCAGACATCCTTCGGGAGAAAGGCTGCAGGCGGCTAGGGATTCGGCAAGGCTATTCTTTAGAGCACACACGGGTGAAAAGCTCTCAGTTAGCCCTGCATTACACAGAAGAGAAGCCCAGAAATGCAGTAATTTTGAGTTCGGCAGGGAGCGCGAAGAGTTTCACCAGTCCGAAAGCACCGGAGGCGAGCTGGCATATTACGGTGGCTTTCGGGAAACCACATGTTTATCTCAAACAAACACCAAGTTGCGACTGCAGATTTCTGGCGAAGTAACTCCAATCTAAAGGACCACGTTCGGCGGAGAGATTTAAAACGGGGAGGCGCAGCCCGGAGTCTCCTGAGCAAGGCACCGAGCGCAGGGCGTCGGAAGGGCCCCGAAGGAGCGGGATTTCGTGCTGCCGAGCTCCGGCCGCTGCCCTCCTCCCCCGGGACCGCAGGAGGAAGCGGTGCCCGGCGCCTTCAATCAGTGCAGCGCCGCGGGCTGCCCTGGCTTACCTCGGCGGCACGAAGGACAGACAGACGGACAGAGGGACGGCCAGAAGGGCTCGGCAAGGGGCACCCACTGCCCCCATGCGCCGAGGCCGGCCGCAGCCGCGACAAACACAGGAAGCCGCGTCAAGAAGCCCGTACACGTGGGCAAGCGGGGATTAAAAAAAAAAAAGAAAGGAAGAAAACAACAGAAGCCACAAAACTGGGCGAAAGGGGAGGCCGTCCCTCTCCCCACCTTCCCCCCCCCCGCGTCCCCTACCTGCTCGGCGCTGCCCGGCTCGTTGAGGCGATGCTCGGCGGAGAGGTGGTGCCGCAGCAGCAGGGCCCGCTTGTAGTTGCGGGTGCCCTTGCAGAGCTCGTCGTGGCCCCCGGGGACGGGGCCGCCGGCCAGGATCAGCTCGGGGGGGGCGGCGGCGGCCGCGGCGGCGGTGCACCAGGCGCAGGACATGAGGCCGGTCTCCTGGCAGTAGTAGAGCCATGGGAACTCCTTGAGCCAGGAGCCCTGGAAGGAGATGTGCAGCTTCTGCAGCAGGGACTTGGGCCGGGCCAGCGGGAAGTGCTTGATGCTCTCCCCCTCCCCCGCGCCCACGCTGCTGCCCTCCGCCTCGTCCCCTCCGTCGCCCCCGGACCGCCTGCTGCTGCTGCAGCTGCCGCCCTCGGCGCCGCTGCCGTCGCCCAGGCTGCCCCCTTCGCCGTCCTCCTCGTCGTCGCTGCTGTCGCTCAGCGAGCCGCCGTCCTGCACCAGCTCCTTGCCCTCCAGCAGCCCCTCCGGCTCCAGGCCCTCGGCGCCCTCCAGCTCCAGCTCCTCGTCCGCCCCCCGCCCGTTGAAGTGCTTCCGCGGCCAGGCCGAGGCCTCGCAGCCATTGTTAGCGGCGGGGGGGCCGCCGAGCAGCCCCCCGCCGCCCCGAAAGGCCAGCGTCCGGCGGTTCCGCTCGGCGAACATGGGGCCGGCGGCGGCAGCGGCGGCGGGGGGCGGCGAGGCGGCGGCGGCGGGGGGCGGCGGCAGCAGCAGCAGCTCCTTCTCGTCGCCGGCCGCCTCCAGCTCCTCGGCCTCCAGCCCCTCCAGCTCCACTTCCTCGTCCGCCCCGCGCCCGTTCAGCGCCTCGGGGGCTTGCGGCTCCCAGGCCTCGCCCGCTCCGGCCCCTCCTCCTCCTCCACCTCCTCCTCCTCCCGTCGCCGCCGCCGCCGCCGCCGCAGCCGCCGCCGCCGCGGTGAGCAGGCCGCCGCCCCGGAACGCCAGCGTCCGCCGGTTCATCTCCGCGAACATGGCGTGCGCCCCCCGCCCGTCGTCGGCGTCGTCGTCGTCGCCGCCGCCGCCGCCGGGGAGGAGGCAGCGGAGGGAGGGAAGCGGAGGGAGGGGGGCGGCGGCGGCCGCCGAGGGAAACAAAGTCCGGCCCCCCCCCGGCTCCGGCCTAAGCTGGGCGCCGCCGCGGAGCTGCCCACAATGGATCCGGCGCGGCGGCGGCAGGCCCCGGAGCAGGCCGAGCGGCAGGGCGAACAACGGAGCGCTCCCACAATGCACCGGGGGGCCCGCCGCAGGGGAGGGGGAGCGCGAGCGGGGGGCGGCGGCGGCGGTGGCGGGAGGGGAGGGGAGGGAGGGAGGGGAGGGGAAGGGGGGGCGGGCGCGCGACAGCTGGGGCGCGTCACGCGACCCCGCCCCGCCCCCCTCAGCCCCCCCCCTCCTCCTCCTCCTCCTCCCCCTCCCCGAGCCCCCCGCCCCGAGCCCCCCCTCCTCCCACTGCGCACGCGCAGGGGACTCCCCCCCCTCTCCCCTCTGTCCCCTCCCCTCCCTCCCTCCCGTCCCGGTTTTCTTCTCCCGGTCCCGTCCCGGGATAACGGCAGCGAGCACCGAGCGCCCGCCCGCCCCGGCCACCCGCCTGACGGAGCGGCTGTTAGCGCCCGTTGGGCGCGTGAGGGACCGTTAGGCGCCCGGCACGTGCCGCGCCTCGCCGCCAGAGCGGGGAGCCCGCCCTGCCCACAGCCCCGCCCACAGCCCCGCCCCGCCCGGCGGCGAAGGGGTTAAAGTCGCTAATTAAAAACCGTGAGGTGGAAATAAAGCTGAAATGAAGTTAAAGCTAGAGTTAAAATAAAGCTGAGATCAGTAAAAAGGAAGCACCGGGCAGGGGGAGGGGGGGTGTGGGGGGCTCACGTGGCCGGCAGCTGGGCGCCCCAGCAGAGAAAGGGGAGCGAATATGTGAGGAATGGCATTTTGGGGCAAAAACAGACGGTTTTGTGAGGAGAATTGGAGCAAAACCAAGCGGTTCTGGGGCAAACACAAGTGAGAAGAGACAGTGACACCACAGCAAGAGGCGCCAAGGCCATCACGGAGCGCCTGACCTTGTGTGGGGCGTCCCACCCATGGCAGGGCGTTGGCGCTAAGCGATATTTGGGGTCCTTCCCACACAAACCATCCACGGGTTCATGGCACCACCCGTGGGCAGACCCATGGCCGGCCGAGCCCCCTGCCCCCTGTCCCACTCGTGGCAGTTTCGGGGCCTGCAGTGCCCCTGTGGCTGGCTGCCGCAGGTTTTGTGGCTGCACGCGTTCAGCGACACAAAAGCTCATCCTCCGCCTCAAAGCGCTCGGAGAGCTTGCTCCTTTCAGTACTGTGAAAGGCACGGGGAGAGAAATGACCTAAAGCTCTGAGGAGAGTTTGCCGTAAATGCTGTAAATGCTGTAGGTGGTGCCACAAAGCATGTCACGTTCCTTCCAAAGAACTGAGAAAAAGGAGACTTTGGGTGGAAAATTAGTTCCCACTGGTTAAGAAATTCGTCCTACAATTGCAGGGGTGAGGGGAGAGCCGCCCATGGATAAACACCGAAGCCGTCAAAGGCAGTGTCGGGTTTCCAGGAGGGATGCTCTAAATTTAGGCGAGGGGTGAGAGGAGGGACGGGAGATAAAGCATTATGAAATTTGCTGTGCCTCGGCGGGGCACAGGGTGGAGGTAGCGATTCAAACCTGGGTCCACCGAAGCGAAAGCTTCCCATGGTGCAGCGTCCATAAAGCACGGAGGGGACTGGTGGCTCAGTCCACTTTAGGCTGTGCGTTGTGTCCCACAGCCCTACAGCTCATGGTCCTTGTCTGTACACATCCATCCACTTACGGCTGCCTCAGCACCTGCCTATGTCTGAACTTCTTAGCCGTTTGAAAATTGTGCTGGGGTTAAAGAAATGCGTGGTGCTATGGAGTATTTCTTACTGAATGTAGGTTGTCGGCAACCAGTGCAGGTTGCTGTGAGCTTACACGAAGAATCCCTGCCTGGACTCATGCGTAGGGTAGAGGGGACATACCCTACATCCCTCCTGAGTGCTTGAAATGGGCATCTTGGAGTGAGCTGGGATGCCCAGACAGCACAGGAGGAGCTGGAGGATAACAAGCTATAGGTCCCAACATTAGACTGCAAGGATAATCTGCATTTAAGTGCAGTGGGTAATCTAGAATGCTAATAAAATTGATAGAGAATCATAAAATAATTTAGATTGGAAGAAACCTCTGGAGTTCAAAGCGGGGCCGACCCCAGCGTTGCAAGAAGCTGCTCGGGGACAACATCTCAGAGTCTCTTGGACTGTTTGCACAGAAAACATTTAGTAGCACAGCTCCTCCCAAATCACCTCACCGCTGTCTTGCTTTGCCAGCTCTCTATGAGGGGTGCCTCCTCTATTCAGAGTGCTCAACATGGGGAACTTAAACCATTGTGGCTAATTTAATTGGTCATTAATGGCCTCATGACAACAGAATTCATATTGTAGTGGTGAATTTGATACTTTTACTCTGTGTCTTCATGGACACAGGTCTCACCAGGTAATCTTAACTTTTGCATAGCACGTCTTGTCACTGAGTAAGTCACAAAAAAAATAAATTCGCTTATCTTTGCTGCAGAAGTTTTTATTTTTAGACTGCTTGGATGCAAATGCGGTTTTATATTATATTCATGATGGGACTAAATATTTCAAAAAGCATCCTGAGATGCTGTAGCAAGAAAGCATTTATTTTGTAGTAACATTAATTCACTGTTCCTTCATCAACAGTTTTTCAGTTCCCCTGTCAAACCCACTTGCTACGAAGGTTCCTAGGTAGAAGCGATCTCTGATGTGCAGCTCGTGGTGATTTTTAGCACACCTTTTTCCCCTGTAGTCTCTTGAGAGTCAGTGGTGCTTACTACCAAAGTTCATGTGTTTGGACAACAACTAGAATCTCTTTCCTGTTCTGTTTTTTGATGGGACAGTATAGGAAAGAACTCTGCAGTGGTTAACTGCCCTAGTCCTGCAGACAGCAGAACTGGTTTGTTCAGTCTCAAATCTAATCCTACGGATAAAACGTGCAGCATTCTTATTTCTCTGATAGCCCCTTGGTTCTTTCTGCTTCTTTCTCCTATACTGCAGACAGGCATGCAAGTCTCCCACGGTTCATTGGTTTAAAAAAAAAAATCATAAACTGATTCAGCTTCCTGTAAATGAAGAGCTCTCACGCCTCACATGAGAGAGCAGAATTAAAAATCGATGCATCGTGTTGCATATGCTGCTGCTGCAGCGTGCTGTCTTGCACGAAATCTAGAATAACCCAAATCCAAACTATGCCACTGCCAGTCACTGGCACTGCTTTGTTTAAAAATAATTCAGTGGGCATAACGCTATGGAAGGGAGTGAACAGCGCATACAATCCCGCCTAGCATTCCAACTGAATATAGATATATCTGGGGAGAAAGGTTTATAGAGCTACTTAGTGGATGAATGTCATGGCTGATAAATTCCATATGTAATAATACTTAAAGTCCATTCCATCAAAACATTTAAAAAGCGTGTTTGTACGTTCTGCTGAATTAGGGTTTCAGTGAACAAATGGCAAGCTCCTACACAAAGAAAAGGATCTTTCGCTCTTAGAGGATAAAATTCATTATATGAGACCCTGAGAATTAAATTCTCATACTTGTGTAACCCACGATGTAGAATATCCTGCTGGTTGGGGACAGTATGCAAGCCATGGGGGGAGTGAGCTTTATACACACAGCCAGTGTTCCCTTTGGTCGCAGCTGAGAATATTTAACTTCTGAGTCAACTCTTACAGGAATCAGCGAGAAGCAGATCGTGCCATGGGAGACATCGTGCCAGTCCAGGGTATACTGATCGTGGCATTTGCAGCAAAATGCTGCTGATACCAACAGCATGTTATTTCTGGGCAGATTTGTGTCCCAAAGTTCCTGCCAAGACCTAACAACCGTTTTCACGATGAGGCTGGCTCCTCCAAGATATCTTCAAAGACCGATGGGATGTTATCCGATTCCTAGAGCACATTTCTGCAACGGATATCCATACAATAAAGTAAAGAAGATTCAAGACTCTTTTTATAGAGCTGAAACTCCACTAGCATGTCCTTTGTATTATTGGAAATCTATGTTCCCAGGCACGTGAAAGTTTCAATCCAAATACTTCTGCATGTTAAGGGATTTTTGAAGCTAGAAATTCACTAATAGGAGAGGCGCTTTTGTCTCGCAAGTAAAAGCATTACTCTAGAGAATGGGATTATTTACTGTGGGGATCACACAACGCAGTGAGCATGGCTGAATTGGAGCCTTATTACTGTGGCAGAAGTGAATGCACATTTGTCCTGATATGCCAAAAGTGGAAAAATAGATTATAGCTGAAAATAGATAGCATAAGCAGTCACCCTGTACTATGAGCAGCACTACTCCATGGAACAAAGACCAGGAAGAGAAAATAACGCTCAAAGATCATGGGGAAGAAAGGACTCACAGACCTCGATGCCATCACCAGGGTGAGGCTCTGTCTGAGCTGCACATCCAGGTGCAGCTGAAGGAGATGCACCCGAGTGGATTTGGGTGGCATGGGCTCAGCTGTCTCGGGAAGGCACAAACAGATGCACGTGACATGGGTGCATCTGTTTGTGCTGCAATCCTTGCTTCCAGATTACCATCAGGGAAGACTTTTGGAAGTGTAAGGCCCGTTCCCAATAACAGATCTTGTACATGTAAACTCCCTGAAGACTAGTTGGGTTACAGTCAGCAGCAGTTTCAGTAATAAACTCAATTCAAATTGAGTTTGTGCAGTTATTCCACTTGGAATACCTTGTAAGTGATACTGGGAAAAGTAATTTACAACCTTAATCAGGACATGCAGTGGAGTACTTAATTCTGCACAATCACACCTTGTGACCGCAGACAGGTCAGGAAGGTATCGTGAATTAAAACTTACCATCCACCACTTGATAACTGTTGCCTTGCGCATTTATCACGGAGCAAACAGGAGATGAGTCAACCTAGTCCACAACACAAGAACTTCACGTAAAATTGCATTGCTTTTTGTTTTATTTGCTGCAGAACAAAGCATACACATGGACAAGCATTATACATACGAGATGCTATCGCTTGCGAACACTCGTAAGCCCGTGGACAGACACTGAGCTCCAGATCTAACTGTGCCATTTTCCATCTCGGGTGCCGCGGTTAGCACTGCCATAGCTCTGCTGGTAAAAGGGTTTGTTTAAGAGGTCTTTAATTTGCTCCAGGCCAAGTGAGCAGGTTCAGTTTAAACCCTCTCACCAGCTAATCCGTGTACTCGTTGGAAGCTGGTGAGGGAGCACTCACAGTCATTGCTTTT